GACTATCAAACTCCTACATTTTGAGGGGTAAAGAAAGATATGAAACTGAGGGGAAGGTTCGCTTGTATCAATGCATTTTACAAAGCCTACCTGTTGGAGACATTCTGCATTATGAAAGCGGTCTCTCTGTCATAAACTGTGACATTCAAAAGAGAGGAATGAGAAATGAGAAATGCTGGAATCTCAACTGTTTTGATAGATATGATCACGTGGGATAATGATCATCCATCAGACTTGGGGGAATGTCTGAGCAGGATTACCGTGCTTCAATTTGACTCAAGGTTATCCATTGTCCCCATCCTCGTGAATATGCGGTCAACCACTCTTATAGTTGCAAAGCGAGCTGGGACATAGCAGCCAATCTGAGCAAGAATAACTACCAGACACACCTGTTGGAGATATGTGCTCTTTCCGCTCCTTGAGAGAAGGAATGCAAATACAAGCATGAGTCAATGTGGATATGCTGGACAATTGATCAGAAATCGGGGGAGTAAAGCTTTACATGTTTGGACCCATAACTACTACCAACATGTTGGTTGCTTCTGACATGAAGATACTATTAGGCTGCAAAACAAAAGAAAGAAAATGTGTTAAACAAGAATGTACAGGGCCTAAAAGGAAAACAAACTGTACAAGAAAGTTGGTGAAAAGACTGTAAACTGCAGAACACATAAATATGTGTAATTTCNCCAGATTTTTTGGATGCTTATGTTAGTGACATTAAGAATATCGAATGTTTTCCATTATGCTTTGCTACCAAAATTAGTTATTTAAACTATATGATATTACCATGAGAAATAGCACGAACAACTTACAACAAAGCCATTGTGTATGCTTTCTAGGATGGGATGATATTACCATGAGAAATAGCACGAACATTCTTGGTTCACCTTCACTGGTATCACAGAAGGTTCTCCTTGCAATATCCAAAAATCCATCAATTCCGGCTTTTAAAGCAAAACACTGTTGTGTGCGAGCAACAAAAGGAACCCATGCATGGAGGACATCATCATCAATAACTTCCCCGACTCTGATAAGACAAGAGGATAAAGAGTCCAGTTATTTGAAAACTCTAATTTTAAGAAGCCTTAAACGGAGGAAATGGAAAATACATCCAGAAAATAAGATCTACTTTTTTTCTGATGCAAGCATATCTATCATTTTCACACACAGACTTGTAAACATTGGCCAGGAGAAAACACTTTGCGTCCTTTAGAACCTGCATTTTTACATGGGACAGGTCGTAATTGGTAAGGGACAGAGGTCACAGACAGATATAGATACCAAATCAAGCAAAAAATCTGAAAACAAAATGAGAAATAAAACACCTTAGTAAGCGAAGGCAAACCATCCAATGCAGTCTTAAGTAAGATAATGCTTGAAATCATGTTTTGACTCCTTCTGGTATTTGTCAAAACCTAGGACCACATCTGTGACTTTCTTTGGCTTGAAGCAGAAATGACAAAGAACTCTATTTGAAAAGTTGTGGATAATCTTTTGAGATGATATGATTAAAAGAAGAAGCAAGCTGAAATTTTTGGATGCAAAGAAAAAATTTCAGGATTTTCCCATATTTTTCCTAGTTGCTTAGCAGTCTCTTTTGGAAATTTACGTAAAACCTGTGACAGCCCAAAGAATAGTTGTTCATTGCTCATCAACTCATCCTGAAGTTACAAGAAAAGGAAATTTGTTTTACGATTAATAAATCATCATGCAATGGAAATTTTCTGGTAGTTGCGCAATGACTAAGCTCTGTAAATCAACATGTTGAACACCTAACAGAAAGTGAATGTTATGCATATTAAAGTTTCTTGGAGAATATGATACCCAAAGCATAACTATACTAACCAGGCAGTCCAGGAGAGTGTTAATAGTTTCAATATCTTTCAGAGGCTGCAACAAATTGGCACGCACGAAGAAGCCTAGTCCTGACCAACGTATAATGTATGAACTAAATTGATTAGTGTGTTAAAGGAACAGTGAAATATGCACATGACTGAGGAACATAGTATGAAGATTAAGATTTTGAATGCTGAAATGCCAAACTCATATACAATGTTTTCCACAACAGACGAAGAGGTTCTATTAGTAATTTCAATCCTAAGGAAAAAGAAAGAAGAAGCAAATTCTAGATACCCGCCGACAGTTTTTGTTGTCTTGAACATCTGGAACAAACTCCTCTTTTTGTTGCTAGTGCCCAAAAGAGCATTATGGAACGGATCAATGATTTCCAGATTCTCAACACTAAAATTAAACCAAACAAACAATGAGATAAAAGGAGTTATAGTTTTGATGCTAAAATTCTCTAAACTCTAATAGACTAAGAACATGGTAATCGTACCTAGATGTGATCAAACGATCCATTAAAAGTTACCTAAACATAGGTAGAACAATCAAGGCAAATGCTATCAGCAGCAAGAGAAGGTTGAACCCAAAGAAGAAACATTCACAATTTTCACAACCAGGTGTTTCAAGAAATGTACATAACCAATCACATACAGTCAGTGAGTGGTTGGTGACTACCACACCCTTTTCCGCCACTATCCAAACTGATAATGATAATGTACTGAAACAAACAAAAGAGTTGAGGGTGTAGACACCATTTGATTGTAGCTGCAGCTGCAGCCAATGAGAGATAATGCTCCTTGTAGTAAGTGTCTAAACCAAGCGCAACAGGTTCTTTTGCAGCCAAGTTTTGAATGACCCTGAAACAGACAACCAACAAAGCATTCCTAATTTAGAAATACATGAGTTCAAGGATCAAGATCCCTTAGATTAAGCCATGATTGTACTACAAGAGATCTTGGTGTCATCAAAACAGCCACGAGCAAGCACAACCTGCAAGAAGAGAAGATATATAGCAACAGTTTGATTGATTCTGATAAAACTAATATACACACATACATTTCAGTTCCGAATTTGAACAGAAACATTTATCCATTGCAGAAAATTCAACCTTCCTAACGGAACAATTATCACACAAGGATCATAGAAACGCAGGAGCGTCTTCGTGTTTTGGTACGAGCTGCTTGTCTCTATATACTGAGATAAATGCAGCGAAGCGGACCTTAGGTCAAAGGCAGCCGTTCCAACCTGACCAGAGAAATTCAAATCGAAATCGAACATCACCACGAAGATACTATGCGAGCAACAACCTTGTGAGAGAATTTGAACATCGATCCCAGAAATTGCCATTGCCAAAACGGAGACTGTAAGAGAACACGAAGCAGATCGTAGTCCTGCGAAAGGAAAGGAGAAGCGTACGTATCGTACCTCTTTGGTTCTGTTCTCGATGAGGCCGGCGACGAAGCTCGATCTCTCTCCACCATCGTCTTCCATTTTCGCTCGACGGAGATTGGAATTTGAAATTTGAGCGGATAGGTACTATCAAACAAGAGTGTTCCCCAAATCTAGGCAAAAGCGCGCCACTCTCAATTAGGGACTGGATCAACTTTAGCTCAAAAGCACATACCGTATGATATGTGCAAAAGAGAGTTTTAAACCGTCATATACTGCTACTACTTCATAAATGGAGAACTAACAATGGATTCAATGGATTAGTAAACATAAAGATATTCAATAATTTCTCATCTTAATCTAAACAACCATTCTGACAAAAAAAAAAAAGGCAAAACCTTGTCTTTTACTACTTACCATCTCAAAATACATGATTTTTCCTTGATTTAAAC